CCTGCCCCTCACTGGCCTGGGGAGAGCTGCCCCCCTCACCATGGAACTCACCCTTTGCCAGCCCTGGGATAGTGGCCCCTATGACCTCAGCATGGGAGAGCTGGCCCCACCTCTCACCTGAGGTGGATTGTTCCAGTAGCCTGGGCTGACCAACTCAGCTCCCACCAAGGCACACATCCAGGGCTTTGAGTTGGCACTCAGCAACATCTACCCCATCTTTGACCTGCTGGGGTGTGTGAAGGGACTGGTGCTACAAAACCATAGCCACAGCATCTGCGTGATTCATACAACAGCAGGATATCCACGAGGAGATATGGTGAGGGTCCAGGATTGATGGTATAACCGAAGCCAGGGGCCTTGAACCTGATCACACCACATAACACAATGAGTATTTGCATGTAAAACTGTGTGGATCAACGGGTCTACTGCGTGACACCCAGCAGCTCCCAATGCCACTACAGTAAATGAAGAGGCAACAGATAGGTGGGAAAGATGAAGGAATGAAGTAGTTTTGTTTGCTTGCTTGCTTTTGGTTTGTTTCTTTATGTTTTCATTAATATCTTATTTGTATTTTTCATACCTTTTTTTATTCTTATTATTCCATTTTAAGTTTTCCTTTGGGGGATTGCTACAAGGGCGAAGGGTAGACACAGAGGGACTGGGAAAGGGGTGGGATTGGAGTGCATGATGTGAAATTCCCAAAGAATCAATAAGCAATTATGTTAAAAAGGGAAAGAAATGGAGGAGGAGAGAATGGGTGGGAAGGAGGGCAAGTGGAGGAGAGACTGAGAGGAGAGAAAGGAGGGAAAACTACAGTTGGGATATAAAATAAATAAATAATTTTTAATAAAAAAATTAATGTTCTTTGCATACTCCAATCCCAGTGATATCACTTTTCTTCTTAAATAAAAAGCAGGTAGAGAGTTTCCTATTTAGAAAGGAAGGAAGGAAGGAAGGAAGGAAGGAAGGAAGGAAGGAAAGAAGGAAGGAAGGAAGGAAGGAAAGAAGGAAAGAAGAAAGGAGAAGGGACCCTGGAAGGAAGTGTAGGTGGAGAATAAGAGATGAATGCAATTGAGATTCATTTTTTGTATGTATAAAATTCTCAAGGAATAAATAATATTTTATAAAATTTCCCAAGGAATCTACTGTTGGCAAAGAAAGCCCTGGAGACAGGCACAAAAATCATATCCCCCAGTTCTCGCTCTAGAAGAGGAACTACTATTAGCAGAAAAAAGCAGCAGAAAATCAAATTACGCCCTGAACTGTAAAGGCTCCAGCAGACTGTGCTCCTCAGGAAGCTGAAAGGAGAGAGTGGAGGAAGGAGAATTTGAGCAGGAGCCTTAACAATTGAGATTTACCGATCACAGCAGACAAAAATCAATCTCCACTCACCATTTGAAACCAAATCAGACATCTCAAAGGGACACACGAGAACACGCACACCACCTTTGGTGAAAACAAACTGCAAAAAAAAGAAAAATCAATTCTGTTTTATGCATTTGGATCTTGGGATATGTATCACTTGCCCGAGATAGTCTTTTTTGTGTTGTTTTGGTTTTGAACGAGACTTTAAAAATGTTATCAGCCAGTTAAAGACATGAAGTCATACAACCTCAGGCTAACAGGGAGCAGTCCTCATTTAAACTATCCCTTTGCTTTGCGGTTAGAGAAATACTTTGTAGTCACTACTAACAAACATCCTCAAGTTGCCCAGTTTCAATGGAGATGGAGAGTAAGCGAGGGATTAGTCCATGTTTGGGAGATAAGAGCATGGGCTTTAAAAACAAACAAACCCAAGTTACAATCTTGGCTTCTCTGCTACTGGAACAGCCTGCCTGAAGGAAAGATGATCTAAGAGGCACTTCACCCCTCTCTTTGGCCATTAGATTATTAAAAAAAAAATGGATCCCGAGAAATTAGAATTGCCTAGGAAGTCTCTTACTGAAGAAAAAAAGAGTCTGAAATTTTGGGGACAGCAAGAAGAGGAAGATTTACAACTCGTGAGGATCGGCCTTGCAGCAGAGACATGCGACTAAGCCAGTGGTGGTCAGGTTCACACCTTGCTGGGACCATCTAGTTATGCATAAGTCTTGCCCTCTATTTAAATCCTACCCTCATGCCAGGACTCTAGAAGATGGACTTAGGGAGTCAAAAAGAAATATGAAGATCCCAAACCATCAGTTAATGTCACAAGCAATCCTTGGTCACTATAGTAATTACTGTCTTCATTGCTGTGACCAATATCTGTTATTGCTGTGACCAATATCTGACAAGAAGCAACTTAAGGAAGGGTGGGCTTATTCTGGCGTGCAGTTTGAGAGATGCAATCCACCATCAAAGGCATGGTGGCCCAGCACGAGGTCTCTGACTGTCTTGTGTCCATAGGCAGGAAGCAGAGAGGAACAGGAAGTAGGGTTAAGCTAGACAGTCTCCAACTCACCCTCAGTGACACAACAAATTCCTCTAGAAACACTAACACCTCCTAAAGGTTCCAGCTAGGGACCAAGGGTTCAAACACATGAGCTTGTGGGGGACAGTTCACATCAAACCGCCTCTGATCTGTGGAGCCTCCTCAAGGAGTACCACAGTCTCCTGGTTTTTTATTTTTTTGAACTTCAAAGTTGCATGCACATGCAACTAAAGATCTTTAGAGTCCACTAGGATGTGTTCTGTCTAATCAAATCAGGAAGGCCAACAGAGAAAAGAAGGGAATTGCAGAAGACTGGGGCTTTGCTAGAAGGAGCCCTCATATCTGTAGATGGAGAGCTGACTGGGTTTCACTTGGAACAATTGGTTCATGCAAATGTTATATCAATAACCAATTCTTCTAGATTGTTGTCAGAAGATGCCTAAGAGAAGAGAGTGCAGTTGGTCTCTGCTGTTGGCTTGTTTGCTTGGTTAATTTGTTAGTTGACTTGTTCTGGTGTCATCCCAAGAAGGAGCTGGTATCATGAAACCAGCTACAAGAGAATCATATTAAGAATTTGGCTTGGAAAAACCTTAGAAATTAGATTGAATAAATCCTACTCTGGTCTCTACTTGTATCTCCAATGATGATGTTTATCTGCTTATTTGTGGGGTGCAAAGAACTGTAGTGCATGCATAGAGGTCAAAGGACACCTCGTAAGTGTTGGTTCTCTCCTTTTACTGTGTGGGTTCCAGGGGTTGAACTCAGGTAGACAGGCTTGGAAGCAAGCACCTTTACTAAGCGACCTATCTCACCAGCCCCAGTGATGATTGCTATATGCTTCCCTAAGCCATTCTTTTCCATCTCTGTGCCCTGTTTTCCCCATCCATACAAGGATGGAGCCAAAGTAGTCGACCTGTGGGTCCTCCCACATTAGCGTGCTATTTAGTCAGATCATGTGCCATGGTGAGAATTTCTCCCTCAGCAGTCATGGAACAGGGGTGCCTCTCTCAGCGTTTTTGCTAACACCCAGCCACCAGGGGGAAAAATGCTGACATGCTCAGACTGCCTGTGTTTTGTGTTGTTAAACCTACTTACAGCTCTAATCGGCTGGTTTTCACGCCCAAGAGATTCAGATTGATTGCTGACACTGACCTGGCTGGGAGAGCATCCCGCAATCTCCAGCCAGAGCCTTAGGCACACTCCCTGGGAATCTGGCGAGCGGTACCCTAGAGGGAGAGGATTTGGTAGGGGAGGTAGAGTGTGAACAGTAAGGGAGGAAGGTGTTCTGTGCATTGCTGAATTGCATTGATCATAGAGTCTGGCAGGTCAAGGTCTAGGTTCCAGGTTCTTTGTCATTTTTCAGCCCACGAACCTGGGACAAGTTACTCCAACTGGGGTCACAGTCTGTGCCCCAAGAAGCCAGATTCAACCATCCATTCTCCATAATCCAAATAAGACAGGCCAGTTAATAATAAAAAACAGAAAAAGATTTAATCAATCTGCCTACATTGGTGAGAGGGCAAAGAGATCCAATGACCCCCTAAAACCATCTTCTGGTATGCTGATGTGAGGGCATGGTTAAATAGAAGACAAGAACTAAACCTATCTAAACAGTCCCGACCCAGAGCCTCTGACACAACAGTGCTTTGACTAAGAAAGCCTCACCTTCATTAGGCTCAGATATTTGAAAACTTCGTCTTAGTTGGCTGAACTGTTTGGGTAGGTTGAGGAGGCATGGCCTTGCGGAAGGAAGTGTGTCACTGGGAAAAGGCTGTGGGGTTTCAAAACCATACAGTCATTTCCCATTCTTTCACTCCTGCTCAGGGCTCAAGCTATGTGAACTCTTAGCTTTCAGCTCCAGCCTCCACACCTTTGCTCTGCCATCATGGACTCTGGAACTTTAAGCCAGATAAATGCTTTGTTTCAGAAGTTGCCTTGGTCAAGGTGTTTTATCAGAGCAATAAAAAAGTAACCAAGATGCCTTCCTGCTCACCCTTGTCTTAGCTCCACAGCTCTCCCACCAGGTCATCTGACAAAATAAAAGTCTGCCCCATAGACAAGTTCCTCCTCTGGTCGCCCCTAGGACTTCAACTGTTTCTTCTTCCAATAGGAGAGTCCTGGGAAAATTCTAATCTTTTGGAGTCCATTATTTGAATAGTCTGATGTCCAAAGAGAGAGGCACAAGTGTCCCTGTAGAATATATTCCTCCCTATCAGAGAGATGGGTTACAACATTCTGGCTATGTTTCTCAGCAGAGGCCTTGCCATCCCAGAAGTGTGTCTTAATGGGTCTCGGGAGAGCAGGTAGTCAGTTCTGCTTACCAAAAATTGTTCAAGAGTGGTCAGATAACCCAATCCTGGCCATTGAGACTAGAGGAGAGTTTTTCTGGGGAACTTCTTGGTTTTATGATTGGTAAATAAATAATAAAATGTATATGTGCCTTTTTGGTCATTGCAGCCATTTTGTTCACCTAAGCCCTGGTGTGATTATGAAGGAAACCACTGCTGACAGTGTTAGTAAAACCACTGAAGGCACTGACTGCCTCGGGAAATAGAACAGGGAAAGCCAGTGACCCAAGAACCAGGAAGAATTGACCAAAGACACAAATCAGAATTTATTGAAACACACTGGAAAGAAGCAGCCAGCAAGCTCTACAAGATGCGACGGCACCACTGAGGGGCTGGAAGTTCTCTGACGGTCATTAAGTGGGAAGTTCTTGACTCTTCCATCACGGATCTCCTGTGTGGGCCTGGATCTGAGGGACAAGCAGATCTCGCATTAACTTGTTAAGTAATAAATTGCACAGCTTATGCCGTCTTTCTTGAGAGAAGCCATTTGTGTTAGGCACCTTGGGTCATTAGGTGTTCACTCCCGATGTCTGTGCAAGACAACACAGGCCACTGGGGGTCAGGATCCAGATGGTCCTGATCTGATTGTTAAAACTTTCACTTTAGGCCTTTTGTATCTACATGCACATCTCTGAGCATCTCATTAAGGTGCCAGACTCACTGGCACTAATGATGCCCACTTCCTGCTCTGCTCATGAAGCCTCACCACTCACCAAGTCTTTGTAAGCTTTCTGCCTATAGTGGGCAAAAACTAAGTATATGAGAGTAACAGGGACGGTCATTATCATGGCTAAAATTCCCACCGTCCACAGTAGCATAGAAAGCAAATTTAGAGATTAGATAACCGGGCTCAGATCCTAGTGACGCCCCTTAAGACCCCGAAGGTGTTTCTTTAGGATGGGGATGCAGGGCTACCTCTAAAACTGCATGGAAGGGTGAAGAAGAGCTGTGCAAACTGGGCCTCTCTGCAGACGACAGGAAAGGCACGCAGCTAAGCGTCAGCAGACCTGGAGCCGTGTCCCAGATCAGGCGCTGCTTTTTGTCCCTTTTGTGTTGCTGACAAAAAGCAGTTTATGGAAGGAAAGAGTTTATAGGCTTACACTTCTGGGCTACAGTCCGTCGTTGAGGAAATCAGAACAGGAACTTGAAGCAAAAACCATAGAGGAACTCACTCACGGGCCCATACTAAGCTTTCTTATATAGCCCAGGACCACCTGCCTAGGGAATGGCACCACCTATAGTGGGCTGGGCCCTCCTACACCAATCGTCAATCAAGACAACCCCCCACAAACATGCCCATGGATGTTTGATGGAGTACTCTGATGTGGGCAAATGTTAATGTGGAGACTTCCTTTTCAGATGGCTCTAGGCTGTGTCAAGTTAACAGTTGAAGCCAACGAGGAGGGTTGTTAATGTCCTCTGTAACCCTGGCCAGTCTCTCCCTTGAAGATCTCACTTAATCTGTAAACTGAGGTGTCAGGTTGATTTAAAGTCAAGGTTGTTCTTGGAATTGATTTTCAATCAATCAAAATGATAAGATCTTTCTTGTTCCCACACACTGGAAACCATTTGTTTCTGCTGTTGGAAGCTGCAAGAAATTTGGTAAAAAGTCAGCGTAAGCCTCCCAAATGCTGTGTGTTGAGTCTAGAGTTCCATCACCATAGCAGCTATCACTGATGACAGGTGTGCATCTCAGCAGTGTGCAGCCCAACCTGTACTCCATGTTCTCCTTGAGCCTCACTGGGCAACTTCCCAGCATCTCAATCAAGGAAGAGACTATTGTCTGTGAGCCCTGATCTTCCCTGGCAAAGAACCACTCATGTGAAATCAAGGGCCAGGAATATAAAGACTCTCCACGTAATATGATATTGTCTTAATGTAGAAACCATTTTTAAAAAGGTGATAATATCTACTCAAATCAACCCAGCAGAGCGTTGGAACATAATATATACTGCAGACATAACACTAGCTAGGCACAAAGTAGGCGCTGTGTTACCCACTTTCAAAGTGAAAAAATATATATTTTCTATATATACTGTATGCAGAATACAGGGAAAGTGCCTGTCTGTGAGCTATATAGTCCTTTAAAAAGCCTTCTACATGGCCCTCCCGATATTACTTCACATACATCTATCTTTGCTGTTAACCAAATATCTGAAAAGAAGCAGCTTAAAGGGTGAAAGTTTATTTTGATTTAACATTCCAGGGGGTACAGTCCATCATGGTGGGGAAGACAAGGCCAGCCATAGATGCTATTAGGAGCACAGCCGCTGACCAGGGTCTCTGTATATGGGCTCTTATGCACAAACATGGCTTCCCTAGAGAGCAGCTTGGGGATCCAAGGACAGATGCCCCAGTGATGAAGGTGGAAACTGTGTGGTAATTATACCCCACCTCAGAAGTCACCACACAGCATCATTTCCATCAGATGCTCAGTCAGAGAGGTCATGTGCAGTTTCAAGAGAAAGGATGCAGCCTCTTGGAAATGGGCACAGTGTAAGAGAGACCATGGCCCTATTTTAAAACCCCTGCGAGATAGCAGCTTGTGATGGCTAATCTTGATTGTCAACTTGACATAATTTGTAATCACCATGGAAACAAAACATGGCTGGGAAGGGTTGTCTAGATGAGGTTATTCGAAGTAAGGAGACCCACCTTGATTGTGAGTAGTGCCAAGCCATGGCCTGAGATCCTGGACCGCATGAAAAGTAGAGAGGGAGCTGAGTACTCCATGCACTGCTCTCTGCTTCCTGGCTGCAGATGCAATGGGACTGGACACTTCCTGCTCCTGCCACCATGACTTCCTCACCATTATGAGCAGTCGCCTGGAACCTTGAGTGAAAATATACCATTCTTTCCTAACATTTCCTGTCAGATACTTTTGTCCCAGCAACATACGAGAAACTATTATACACCTGAAGGAGTAGGAAGAGCTAGCAAAGGAGGGCGGGCAACATTGCTCAAGGATGACCCTGTCTCAGAGACAAAATGGCAGCACACTGAAAACAGCGAGAAGAGAAGCATCCTCTGTGGCTGGTGTGAGGGGCAACCAGTGTGAGGGACTCGGTGAGGTGTCGCGGCTTTAAGGGAACTTTTACGTGGTTGTCATGGGAACTTAACTGCATCCAAGCAATAGCCCTCTAACCTGAGTGTCATCTGCTTTATCTGTCACGTGTGGAGAGTTTGCTGCCCGCGTCCACCCTACAAATCTGTGCGGAGCCTACGGAGGCCATCCGCATAAGAGGGCTCCATGAGTGTCACCTGGGGCTGTTCTGGGGGCTGCTTCGTTATCGCCAACTTGGTTTTATCATATTACAGGGCAAGACGTCAGTATCGGTGACTCTTCTTATTACCGTGACCAAGAACCTGGCAAAAAGCAACTTAAAAGAGGAAGGGTCTGCTGCGGCTCCACACACAGAGGAGCGCAGTCCATCATGACAGGGAAGGTGTGACTGAAGGATGTGTGAGGCCCCTTGTTCATGTCCGGGTGGATCAGAGAACAGGGGCCTGGGAATGCTGGCCTGCAGTTCACTTTCTCTTTTTTTCTCGTTTCGTTCTGTCCAGAAGGCAGTTGATTCTGGCTGTGTGCTGTAGAGACAAGCTCTGCAAACAAGAAGACCTGAACCCCTGTTCAGGGGCTGAGAAAGAAATGAGACCAGAATGAGCCTAGACCTTGTAAATAAGGCAAATACCTCCAGCCATTCTCGTTCTTATCTCTCTTCTTCCTCCTCTTCTGCTCCCTTCTCCTTCCTCTTCTTTGTTTCCTCCTCCTTCTCCTTTTCCCCCCTTTCTCTCATACCTTCCTCCTAGATTTCAGCTTTGGCAGCTTTGATTAACTGGAAAAATACAGGGTTGGCTTTTCATTTTTAGGTAATTTAAAAGGAAGAAATCTTTACTAAACACATTCAAACATCTGTGGCTTCCCCAGCCTCACAAGTGACAGAGGAGGGAAGACAAGTATAGACCTCACCACGGGAACATATGGAATTCCGAGGGGTTTGTAAAGTATCAAGCTCAAAGTGGGATTTGGAGGAAATAGTGTTCAGTCCACTTACTTGATAACGGGTGTTACGAGACTACTAAGGCACAAGAAGGAAACCTGTGAGCAAGGCGGCTCTCCTGCCCTGTAGGTTGGAATGTTAATCTCTAAACATTGTAAGGAAACATTAGAGCAATGAGAAAATAGTAAAAAAAAAAAAAAAAAAAAAACCACCCTCCCTTTGACTCAACAGTTTCTTGGTAAGAATTTCCTAGGAAGTATTCCAAGAGATATGGACAACAAAATTCACCCCATCATTGTTTATCAAGTCATAAAAAGAAGAAAAATTACAACCAAGTGTTTGATGGTTACAAGTAGGTTTGAGCACCACCAACTCTGGTGCCCCCCAGAAGGCCACCAGGGGGAACGCCAGAAAGACTGATTGAGAGGTGTCTTGCCACTGTGGAAGCTAAGATAGGTTGTTGACTTCAAATAACGAGGAGAAAATGCAGTTGACTCTGCCAATGAAACACCGACTGTGCCAACACTTGTGAAGGCCTGAGTTCAGATCCCCAGTGCCCACAATACAAGGCTGGGCAGCTGTGACAGCCTTCCAGGAATCCCAGAGTTGGTGAAGCAGAGACAGGGAATTCCTGGAGCAAGCTGACTGCAAGTCTGTGATATCTGGGTTTAGCAAGATGCCTTGTCTCAACATACAAAGTAGAGGGAGACTACTGGGGGATATAGCCCAGTGAGCGAGGTACTGCATTCCATACGCATTGTGTGGGGGATAAAACAAGATTAAGAAAGACACAGCAACTTGCTCATTCAGGAAGGAACTCCCGAGAATGAATGGAGTCCAGTGAGGTCCTGCCTGAGACATCAGGGGCCAGATTCTCTGTGACATACACCCTGGGTAAATCCTAATCTTGCTCAGAGATGAATGCCTCTGAGCAGTTGGAATCTAAACGTCCCGCCAGTCTTCCTTGGAAGAGAAAATGATAGCCTTTGTATGGCTTCTCTGTCCGGTGTGATGGATGAGAGGGCCATGCAGTAAGTAGCCACCAGAGGCTCCACAGTGGTTGCTGTCAGCCTTTCCATCACATTGTGGCTGGCTGTCAAGACCATGGTCCTGAAATTTATGGTGTTCCTGTAGGAGCAGTCTGTGCAAGGCAGCTGCTGCCGTCACCAAGGGAAGCCAGCCAAGTTCCTACTCTCCTTGAAGCCTGAGATTATTCCTGCTCTGCCTGGTCATGCTTCCTGTATCAAAGCATAAAAAAAATACGAAACGCCTCACCCAGGTGTCCTTCCCCTTCAGTGTTGTCTCATGGCCATGCCACGGCTACTATAGTAGGAACTCCATAGCCAACCCAAATGTCATAGCCAAACTCAGCTACCCACACCCCAGGCACTGAGGGAAAGGCATCCCCGTGTTTACTTTTACTTCAGACATGCTGGATCTCTGCAGGAACTCAAGATGGACTGGGTAGAGCTCCTGCGATCCATCTCATTTAGGATAAGGCAGGATGCCACTGGGCATACAGTGGTCAAGGTGTATCAGTGGTCAAGCTTTGGAGTCCTCAAGCCATGCATCTAAACCCTCCCTCTGCTGAATGCCAGCAGTGGGACCCTGGGCTATTAAGTTCTCTGTGCTCAGTTTCCTCGACTATGAAATCACAATACTTGGAACACAGCTCTGTTGGGAAATTCAGTGAAGTACTTCTTGAAACAGGACACGGTTACAGCTAGCAGGCTGGTCAGGAAAATAGGACCTGCCTCGCGCCAGAGAAAAGAGACCATACAGCAGGAACCCTGAAAGAGGATGGATGGTGGTGGTCAGGGGCACTCAGCAGTGTATGAGTGGTCAGTGGGAAGGAACGGTATCACATAAAGAGGGACCACAGAAAGGAATGGGGGACAAAGGCCAGCAAGGGGTGTCCTTGGAAAGATGTATAGTTCTGTCTGGTGTCAGGGAGGTCAATGGGGGAAATACTGAAAAGGGAAATTGGGAGGTTGAGGCAGAGGGATTGCTGTGAGTTTGAGACCAGCCAGGACTACATATCCACATGGTCTGGCAGAGCAGGAATAATCTCAAGCTTCAAGGAGAGTAGGAACTTGGCTCACATCCCTTGGTGACGGCAGCAGCTGCCTTGCACACACTGTCTCCACACACACACACACACACACACAGAGAGAGAGAGAGAGAGAGAGAGAGAGAGAGAGAGAGAGAGTCAGATATGAAACTGGGACAGCTGGGCCGCCAGCAGGGACACTGCAGCTATTTGAGCCGTAACAACCAGGGGCAGAGTTTGTCAACAAACACAGCTCCTACCACAAAGACCGTAAGAGTCTAGAGTCAAACAGGAGTGGCCATGACCAAACTGAACGAAGGTTTCATGAAATTTTTCTAGTAACAGAACAAAGAAAGTCAGAAATGAAAAAATTTTCCAAATATATCCTTGGAATCATCAGGTAGGCAGGTCTAGTAAGGCAGAGGTAACTCTGCCATAGGCCATCAATGCTGATGATAAACTCAGCTCTGAACTGGGGGAAGGTAGGTCTCTATCAACATATTCCACAAGATTTTACCTGCTAGTCAGGGGGCTAGAAGGCCACAGAGGGAGGCAATGACTGGTTATTAAGGACACTAAAGACAGACCGAGGAGGACTGGCTCTGGCTCTGGAACACACTATCTCTCTACACTGAAGTTTTAGCCAGTCCATCAGCATCCTAGATTCTTTAACGTGGGTGTGGCACCTTTTGTCCTGAGCGCTTCATTTCACATCCTGTGCTGTGTAAAGGGTCATTGGACTGCATCTATCTTGGGAAGCAAGAAGGCTCTACAGGAACCAAACAAAGACAACCGAGTCACAGACACATCCATCCAACTCTCCTGTTGTAGGTGAGCAACATGCTGCCGCAGGCTCCTGTAACAACATCAGTGTTGTGAGTGGAAGCTCTTACAAAGTGCTCCAGGGAATCACCCTGTCTCTATTACTACAAGTGGGACGCCCAGGGCTACAGCTGTCATTCCTTCCTTAAGCAAACTGCTCCATCCTGGAGCCCCCTGCCATTTTTCCCACTGTGCGGAGACCTCTGCACACACCAGCAGGGGCTGCTCAACTGTTTCTCACTTAACTCTGATTTCCAACTCGGTCAAAAGACAAGTCCAACTTCTTAATTACCTAGCCATGGAACTAGGCTGAGAGATGGCTCAGCAGGTAAAACCCTGTACTGATCTTTCAGAGGACCCCAGTTCAGTTCCTAGCACCCACATTAGGCTCCTCACCATTGCCTGTAACTCCACACCCTCTTCTGACTTCCTTAGATACATGCGCACCTATGGTAGACAGAGTCTGAACAAAATAAAATGCACGTGAGTAATACTTTAAAACAGAGCTTGAATTGGATGCCTGTCAATCAAGTTTCACCCATCCCTGCCCATCTGACCAGGGATTTGTCACTCCCATGTCCCACTCACTGTGACTTCTGTCAGCTTTTACAAATGAAACCAATTATTTATCCTTAAATTATGCACATTCCACACAAAATTGGAAACTTTTATTATATCTCTAATAGAAGTTCATCACTAGAAAGAGAAAAGAAAATTATGCAGCAAAAACAAGGCATTGAGAAAGTCTACCGTGGTCTCCTTACTCTCTCTGCTGGGAACCGAGAACGGCAAGCTTTAATGAGGTGGCATTTGGGACCAAATTGAAAGATGCTTTGAAAAGGACAAAGGGAAGAATTCCTTTCCCAACATGACTTCACTGTTGCTGAGCAGGGGAATCTAAAATCTTGCAAGCCAGACTTGCTTGTTCTCACAGCCTGCCTGCGTTCACCCTGGGATTC